TTTACAGACAACACTAAGGTGAGTGGTGCAGTTGACATGCCTGAGGGATGGTATGCCATTCAGGGGGACCTAGAGGTTCAATAATGCCAAGTACAAGGTTTTGCACCTTGGTTGGGGCAATCCCTGGTATCAATGCAGGCTGGGTGATGAAGTAGTTGAGAACAGGCATGGCAAAGGACCTGGGGATACTGGTGGATTAAAAGCTGGACATGAAATGGCAATGTGTGCTCGCAGCCCAGAAAACCTGCTGCACCCTGGGCTGCATAAAAAGAAGAGTGGCCAGGCAGTAGAGGGAGGTGATATTGTCCCTGTGCTCTGCTCTTTTGAGATCTCACCAGCAGTACTGTGTCCACTCTGGAGTACTAAGCACAAGGAAGTCATGGGCCTGTTGAAGCAGGTTCAGAAGAGGGCCACAAAAATGATAGAAAGATGGAACAGCTATTCTATGAAGAAAGACTGAGTGAGTTGGGGTTGTTCAGCCTGGACAACAGAGGGATCTGGTGAGACTGTATTGTGTTATTTCATCACTTAAAAGAACATTATAAGAAAGATTAAGATTAACTTTTTAGTAGGGCCTGTTGCAATAGGAGAAGGGGGTAATGGTTTTAAACTAAGAGGGTAGATTTAGACTAGATAGAAGGAAGTATTTTTTTACAATGACAGTGGTGAAACACTGGAACAGGCTGCTCAGAGAAGAGGTTTCCCATCCCTGGAAACATTTAAAGTCAGGTTGGACAAGGCTTTGAGCAACCTGATCTAGTTGAAGATGTCTCTATTCAGTACAGGGGAGTTGGACTAGATGACCTTTAGAGGTCCCTTCCAACCCAAACTATTGTATGATTCTATAATTCTGTAAGTTGTTGTTGGTGATAATAGTACCTTAGAAGTAATCAGATCAAGTTCAGAAGATAAAAGAAAAATAAATAAGCAAATAAATAGAAGCAGGTGAGGAAGTTCTCACAAAGTATTCAGCTGTCCCAGATGGTTGGGAAATAGCCCTTCCTTAAATATACAAAATGTAGGACATGGACATTACATGTCAAAATGAGCTTACAAAATCTTATTTAAGTTCTTTAGAACTCTATTTGAATTCAATGAATTCACACTCAATTTTTCGTGAGTTCTAAAATATGGAAATTCCCTAATAAAAAAGAATTTAAGGGTTTGGTGGGGTTTTTTTGTGGTTCCCTCCTCCCCCCCCCTCAAGACAGATGATACCATTATTCTACTATTACAGCTACTTGTAGGACTGCAATGGGGATGAAAAAGTACCATTTTCCTGATTAGACAGGGTTTTACACACTACTTTCTGAAGCATAAGAGTACGAAGCTTTTTTTTCTTTTTCCATTATCAGGCAGCTGAACAGAAAACACTACTGATTGACCTTTATATTAATGAGGCTAAATAAAAACACAGATGGCTTCTACTAAGTGAAGGAACTGAAAGTAATGATGTGCTATCTTAAGCCACTGTCCAACAAAATCAGAGACCAGGATAACCAGAAATCTGATTATTCTAGCTGAGTAAGAAAGCTCAAATAAACACATCCTCTCTCCGTCTGAATCCTGTCTGCACTAAAAAAATGTCTTGTTTTAAAGAATGGTTGTCAAGAATAAGTCTCCTTGACATGATACTAGAATTTTTCTAGAGAAAGCAGTGATTTAGCATAATTTCTTGAAACTTCACTTTTTTTTTTAGGAAAAATGATGGTAACAGATTGAGCCTAAGGACCCAGAGATATGTAATGAAATTTCAGGTATTGACCTCTCAGTGGTCCAAA